ACCATATTGGGTTACATAGGGATTAGAATAAGGATCCATTCTTTCATTCGTAGCTAACCAAAGACCAGTGTAAGGTTTGCTGGCTTGCTTTCAAGCGGGATATCTGCGTTTCATAGGGATGGGGCTTGGACTCCCCCAGACAAACATGACAGCTTAAAAAGCCTCCTTAAAAGGACAGCACTCTGCATAGTGCCCTTTTGGGGGTTCCATGTCAAATCATGGGGCTTGGGTGTGCGGCCCCATCACCTACATTCCCCAAGCATACATGGAACCTAAGGGATTGGCCTCATTTAGGCTGAGGACTGTCTTTTACCAAGGCCTGCTGCAGCTGCACAGGTTCCATGTTTTTTTGGGGGCATATCTTGGACATGTACCGGCTTCCTACACATCGCAGGTGCTGCCGTTGGGTGTGCTAGAACATGGTTAGGACTATGCTGAGGGCATAAGGGGGAACAGCCATTCAACCCTACAGGATAAAATGTTTGTGCCGAAACCTCGAAAGGCAGTACCATTTTTCAATCTTAAAATGCCTTGCCCGAGCGTGGAACACTGCTTACTACACGTTTACCATAAAACGGCTGATATGTTGAGGTGTACTGATATGTTGAGGTGTACTGATGGGTTGAGAAGGCGAAGGGTGTCCAAGGGAGCCCGCTAAACATGAGTCCATCGGAACCAGTTGAGGATATACAGCGCTAGCGGGATTCTTAGCGTTGCGGTCAAACATGTAACCTGAATCGTAAGCTTTTCACGGTTTGGAATGGTGAGAAGACCCGCACAGCAGGTCTCCGTCAGGGAGGAGGTGGAGCGAGATCTGGCGCGGCTGTTGGCTGATCCCAATGCAAGGCTTGGGGTTGATTCTAAGTGTAGAGACTTTGCTTCAGGAAGAAGATAGTTCCAGATTTCCACGCAGGATCGAGGCTGAGGGTTTAGGATTATGATTCCAATCTTTTTTGGGGGGAGCAGGGGTTGCTCGATGTATGTCAAGTTGTATGCGTGACTTTCATTGTTGTGCTTTCTTGGTCCTCGAGTTACGCCACTTAGTATTTGTGTCACACGCAGCCATGATACCCTCCTCAGGCGTACTGAGCCCCAAGGCCTGAAAGTCTAACTGTCTGACCATTTAGGAGACCCTGCAGATCTACTTGAGCGCGCCCAATACCTTCAAGACCCTAACATCCTAAGATCCTAAAGCCCTAAACCGCGTCAGTCTTCACAGGATCTTCGTACTTTCCCAGCCTGGGTGCTCTTTGAGACCACTCCTGGCGCGTGGGAGGCAACTTCTGGGTTTCGGGATTTGGGGGTTTTGG